GTCTGTTTACTGTGACTGTAGGCTTTTCATGGTTTTCTGAGGAAAGGAATGTATAATTTTTTTTGTTTGTTTGTTTTTTTCTCTGAAAGGACATGGGTCTGAAAATCTTTACTAATTTCCATTACCGGAAACCAGAAGTATGTTCATCCCAGGAAAACTTGCCCTTACTGAGGACATTTGATGACCCACAGGGACCGATGATTATGTATGGTGCTTCAGCTGCCTGTGGGTAATCTAGAACTTTCTATTGGAGTAACAGTCAGTAGAATTCTTTGGGTGTATGTAAGATAAAAACATGTCAAACACAGGTCTTACAGATGAATTATAATGATTTGGAACAAGAACTAGAATTTCTACAGTTCAACAAGAAAGGCTGGAATTATTTTGGGCCATAAAGAATAATTAGCTTCTGATGTAAGAAGTTCAGGTTTTGGTTTCTGCCTTTCATAATGTTTTAATTTTTTTGTTTGTTTCTTAAGATAGGGACTTTCTCTGTAGCACAGGATGACCTCAAAATGTATGTGAAGACAGCTATACAGGGTAATGCAGGCAGAAATTAGACATGGTGTAAAAACAACTCAACAATACCTTTTTGTTTGTATTGAGAAAGGGTCTCACATAGCCGAGGCTGGCCTAAAACTTATGTATTCAAGGATGACCTTGAACTTCTGATCGTCCTGACTCTACCCTCTCCAATACTGGGGTTTGCAAGCGTACACCACCATGCCCAGCTCTATAGTTATTATTTTCATGTAGAAACACTGACTAAGTGAATTGTATGCAACCTACATGCCATTCCTGTAAAGACAAATGTTATGGAGAATTAGGGATATTAATGCCACCAAAAACTTCAGCAAAAATAATACCAGTGGCAGAGTTGGCAGGTACTGACATGTCAACCAAGAGCCAGGGCGGAGATTTAATTAATTCAGATCTGGCTTTAGGTGATTTGTTCTTTGTGTAGCTTTTAAACAAATATAGAAATATGAGCATCAAAATAGTGACACCAGGTTGAGATTTGAATGATTCAGTGTTAGGCCCTAAGAGTAGAGTCTGTGTCACTCATGCTATGATATAGTTACGAGCTCAACTCAGGGTCCAGGGAGATGGCTCAGTGGGTAAATTGCTTGCTCTGCAGTCATGAGGACCCGAGTTCCATCTCTAGCACATGCACACACACACAAACTTGCACCCATGCACGAATGTACACACACACACACACACACACACACACACACACACACACACACAGAGCTTAACCAGACATGTGTCAGTGAAGCACAACACATACTTTTGCTCTTTCTACATAAGATATTTCTTTGTATCTCTCTCTCTCTCATTTTAGTTCAGGATGCCATAGACAGCATCAACCATGCAGAACAGGCCATCAAAGAGACAGTCAGAACACACTTCCCCAAGACCTGGATATGGGACCTCGTCAGTGTAGAGTGAGTTTTATTTTCTGTTACTTCTAAGTAACAGATTTTCCCCCTGTATGTTTCTATCTCTATTTTTTTCTTCTTTTGATTTGTTAACTTTTATTCCTGGGCAATAAAGTAATGAGGTATTTGGGGGAGAAAAAAGTCACTTATTTGTATATCCTGATCACATTTGATGGTTTGTTTGTTCTGTAAACAGCGTTACCTTTCCACCAAACCTTCTCTCCTATAAATTCCAAGAAGGTAGATATATGCTACCTTAATTTTTAAAAGATATTTGTAGAAATATGGCATTTCTAAGGTTCCATTCTATAGACACTCAGACTAGAAATATGTAACGATGCCTTACTTAAAACCTGACGTCAATTTTTAAACCTTCAGTCACTGTATTTGTGAATGTTCAGCATAAACCCAGGTTCTCACTTAGAGGACAGATGTCACCCACAGCCTGTCTTTTCAGTTCCTCAGGTTCAGCAAATGTCTCGTTCCTTGTCCCTGATACTATAACCCAATGGGAGGCCAGCGCCTTCTGTGTAAATGGGGAAGTAGGGTTCGGCATTTCACCCCAAGCATATCTACAGATCTCCCAGCCCTTCTTCACTGAAATCAACTCACCCTTCTCTGTTGTTCGAAATGAGCGGAGCGACGTGGTTGTCAGTGTTTTCAGCTACCTGACTACGTGTGTAGAGGTAAGTCACTCCCTTTGATCTGGAAGGAAACATCCAGCAAGCTAAATTATTCACTAATTTTTAATTCAATATCACCATAGACTATTAACAAATGGAAAAATCATACTATAAGGAAGTCACTTCTTTCTATAATAATTAATAAATAATAATTGAAATTTTAAATTTTATTTTCTGAGTATGATTGTTTTGACTACACGTATGCACATGTCCCATGTGCATTTCTGGCGCCCATAGAGGCCAGAAAAGCACATCAGAACCCCTTGAATTGATCTTATTGGCTGTTGTGAGCTACTATATGGATGCTGAGAACTGAACCCAGGTCCTCTGCAAGAGCAGCAAGTGCTCTTAACTGTTGTGTGAACTGGGCAGCCCCAGAAGTAATTGTTTTAAATTACAATGACTTGAAATTTTAGTGAGAATGGCATTTTGTGATGATACACATTCTACTATTTTGTGAACGTATGAGTAAGTCTTTGGGCATCTTTTCATTTTGCTAAGTTAAAATAAAGAAAACCTTAAGATGAAAAATATCAACTCCTTTGAAGACATTAAAGAAACCATTGTGTGATAAATTGTAGAATTTCAAGCAAAGAAGAGAGAGAATTTAAAGTGCTACCCTGTGGTTATCATTCTGTTTTTTAGATTTCTGTTCATTTAGAAGCATCTGAGAATTATGAAGCAGTTATCAACAGTCTGGGTAACAATGGCAGTGATGTTCTCCAGGCTGGAGAACGGAAAACATATGTCTGGACCATTATACCAAAGACACTGGGTAAGGAGTAAGCAGCAGTCTTTCATGGACTGACACACATTTTATCGACCTCTGTTTTTCTTAGATTTTTCTGGAGAAACCTGATTTTCTTCAACATCATATTTCTAATTTCCTTTATTCATTTCCCTATATTCAAAATTCTTAATTTCCTTGTTTAAAAGTATTTTGTTTTCTGTGTCTATGTATGTGCCTGCATGTATGTATGTGCACCATGTGCATTGTAGGTGCCTATGGAATTGGGAACAGGGTATTCCATTGGAACTTGGTGGTTGTGAGTTGCCTTATATGGGTGCTGGGTACCAAACCCAGGTCTTCTGCAAGAGCAGCAAGTGCTCTTCAATACTGGGCCATCTCTCCAGCCCTATAGCTGCTTATTGTTAATACTCTGTGGAACAAAACTCCATTCATTCACATAAAAAGCATAATAAGATTAAAATATGGCAGAAATGCTAATGTGTATGATTTGTCAAGTCCACATATCATATCCCAAATAAAGACCACATCTCTTTTTTCTTATTTTACATATCGATCCCAGTTCTCTCCCTCCCTCCCTCCTTTCTTCTCTTCCTCCCTCTCTCCCTCCCTCCTTCCCATAGCCTCATCTCTTTCCCACCCACCCCCTACTCCACAGGGAGGGTGGTGCCTTCTAGGAGGGGTCAACAAAATCTGTCAAGTCATTTGGAGTAGGGACTAGGCCCTCCCTCCTGCCTCTAGGTTAAGGGAGTATCCCTCCATGGGGAATGTGCTCCTAAAGTCCTTTTGTGCACCAGGGATCCATCCTGGTTCCACTGTCAGAGGCCTGACAGACTGCCCAGGCTTCCTAACAGAGACCCATGTTCAGGGGGTCTGAGTCAGTCCAATGCTGGATTCCCAGATATCAGTCTGGGGGCCCATTTGTTCCTCCTTGTTCAGGTCAGCTGTCTCTGTGGGTTTCTGTAGCCTGGTCTTGTCCTCCCTCTCTGCATCTGGATTCCAGTTCAGAAGACCACATCTCTCTAATGCTACCCTGACTATGGCTTTGACAACAGTCACATAGAATGCCACTTTTACAAAAATTTCTTCTCGGCCACGATCATCAGTTATGAGAGTCCCCGGAATTAATTTTTTAAACTAGATGTGCTAAAATAGATCACTGGATACCTAAATCCAACCATTGGATCAAATACTGAGAAGTTTGCTCTAGTGCCTGGCCGTTTAGAAAAGTAACTTTAGAAGTCTCTTGCTGTGATGATACGAAAGAAGAAGGAAGTTAAAAGTTTAGCGAACCAGAAAGGCTAACCATAGATGCTGCTTAGTTTGGGAAAACTTTTTAAAATTATGTCAATATAATTCTTTTATTCAGCTTCTTGTATTCATCGTATTATATCATCAGTGGAAAGTATTTTTTTTTAATTTAGCTGTGATATTGATTCAGCTCAGACCATTTTTCTATTAGACTTAAACTTTCTTGATTCTTATTCTCTGTAAGATCTTCGAATAGCTCACTCTGCGCTTGCTGCTACGTCTTTGTGATGCTCAACAGCTGTGCAAAGAAATGAGCAAAGCTGATAACAGAGAAGCAGAAGCAATATGCCACGAGTCTTGTAGCACAGGCAATGTTAGGCTTTGTGAGTAAACTTTCCCAGTCCTCCAGTATCTCTGACCTAATATACTGGAGATCAGTACTGAATACATACTGTGGTGCCACAGAAATTAAAATCAACGGTTTCTGGCCAGCATTCAGTTATAGCTGGTGGCCCCTGTGCTGTATCAGATCTGTTTTCCTTTGATCTTAGAAAACACTAGAAACCCCAGTTATTACCAGGTGTGATGGCATTTTTCTTTAACCCTGGGAAATACTATTAACCCTGGGAATGGTGGTGCAAGCCTCTAGTCCCAACCCTTGGAAGGAAGAGGCGGGCAAATCTCTGTGAATTCTAGACTAGGTCTATGTAGTGAGCTCCAGGCCAGCCAGGACTACATGGTGAGGCCCTATTTCAAAAAAGGAAAGAAGAAAACCTCCAGATAGCTGATGTTGTATTGCCCAATGTCATTTTTTTATAAACAATATCGAGGTTTCTTCACACTTTGTAAGTTGGCTGCTGGCAGTTGCTGCGTCAGCGTCAGCTGCGAGGTCAGCGTTCGCTGCTCTATTGTTGGCTGGCAGCTTGGCCGTTGGCACTCCTCCGACTGAGGCGACCATGGCAGGGGTGGCCGCGCTATTGCGGAAAACTCAAGAGTATGTGAAGACCAAGGAGTTCCGGGATTATGTAACCAGCACCCACTTCTGGGGGCCTGTGGCCAACTGGGGCCTTCCGATGGCTGCCTTCAAGGATATGAAGGCGCCTCCCGACATCATAAGCGGCCGCATGACGACAGCGCTCATCTTCTACTCCATGGCTTTCATGCGCTTTGCCTACCGGGTCCAGCCTCGAAATTACCTGCTGATGGCGTGCCATTTTTCCAATGTGGTGGCACAGAGCATTCAGGCGAGCCGTTACATGATACACCACTACGGTGGTGGGGTCAAGGCCAGCAAACCTCCGGCCAAATAAGCCTGATGACTGGGGGATGGGAGGGGTAGCCTGAACCAGACTTTGCAGCTTGCAAGCTTGGACTCTATTCCTCCTTAAAAAAAAAAAGTCAAGGAAAACTTTGGTTTGGATTCTAAATCAGTGCAAACTCAACTAAAACCAGCAGTTTGGTTAATTAAAAAAAAAATCAAATTGAAAAAAGAAACTTTGTAAGTTCTAAGGGAGTAAATGAGTAACTTACTACAGGGAATTTCGAAATAAATAGAATAAGACATATTGCCTTATCTCCAGGTAGGAGAAGAAGTGTGTAGCTTGATCTAAACTTTGGTGTGATGGTACAGTTTGGCTCATCTCATTCAAGACATGATTGATAGACCTGAAGCATCTCCCATTGGAGGAAGTATCAGTATTCTTTATCTTATGCTTGGCAATATTTTCCAGGTAAAGTAAATATTACTGTAGTGGCTACATCCAAACAAAGTAGTGCCTGCCCAAATGATGCCAGTAGGCAACAAGATGTCAACTGGAAAGACACCGTAGTCAAAGGCTTACTGGTAGAGGTATGTACATATGGAATACCAAATTCTTCCTGATGGGAAACAGATGGGAAACACCAGACAGGACATTCTCCTCGAAAATGCTTAATCGAGCACAGTTACTTTTGACATAAACCTTCTGCTTTGAACAAATTACAGTATTATACATCCATCCTGTCTTTAATCAGTTCCTCGGGCCCTGTTGGGTAGGTGGCTCAGTGGGAAAATACTTGACTAGCTGTGCACAGCCCTGAGTTTTAGTCTCTGCCTCTCCCAACTCAACTAACAAACAGCCTCATCAAGGATGATGAGGCCCGTTGAAACATGCTTTGTGATTTCTTGACTTTCTTCTTGACATGAAGCAACCTGCACATCTGCTCCCCACACGTCTTTTTAACTGATCCTAAAGTGAAGTATATAACCTTAATCCCAGGGTCTTAGGTTTGAGCTCAATGTTGGACACCAGATGAAGTGTGATCCTAATTGGTCTTATCAATGAAAGCCCAGGCAGATAGTGAGGTAAATGCTGAAAGCTCAGAGAAGCAAAGGAGCAGCCACAGTCTCCTCTTACCTCTTCACATCTTCAGACTGAAGATCTTGTCTATGCATCGCCTTATCACTTCCTGTCTACCCTGTATTGTCACTTCCTGTTTCCTCTGTACAGACCTCCAGACTCTATGGTTAACTAGTGCTAGCTCTGCCCTCTGATCTCCTGGCAAGCTTTATTTGTCAGAATACAAACAAAATATCACAACACATTAAAGTCCAAGAGATAAATCCATTTGTTCTGTGATTGTGAGCAGTTCCTATTAGCCTCAAAAAAAAAAAAAAAAAAAAAAAAAAAAAAGGACAGGGCAGTTGAAAGTGTCACTCAATGACACAGGGTTGGGTTTTGTTTGTTTGTTTTTTGAGACATGGTTTCTCTGACTTTGGAGCCTGCCCTGACACTCACTCTGTAGACCAGACTGGCCTCAAACTCAGAGATCCACCCAACTCTGCCTTCTGAGTGCTGGGATTAAAAGCTTGCACTACCAATGCCTGTCTGTGAACACGGGGTTATCTTTGCACAACCTATGGGAACCGAGGGCCCGAAGGGGTGTTGATACAGCGACTTCCACATAATAAGGACAGGGACAACGAATGACTCTCAAGAACAACCCTGAGCCAGCCTTGCCTCTGGTAACTGATGTTTGGTCTCTTTTCCTTTACGGAAAAAATGACCCAACTTATTATTCTGTTCTCATTTTTGCTTACTCTCTAACAGCCTGAAGGTATTGAAAAAGAAACAAGCCAGAGTTTCCTTATCTGCACAGAAGGTAAGACAGCTCCAGATGGTTAGATGGTCCTAGAGAAATCTGTAAGCATGGCAGATCTACTTTCTTGACCTACACACGAGCCACGAGCCACGAGCCACGAGCCACAAGCCATGAGCCATGAGCCCACTTGCTATGTGGATACATTTTAAGTTCTTCCTGGGGATTTTATTTATTTCATGTTTTATATTCATTGATGTGTAATTTTTAGCAAATAAGATGTGTGTTAATGAATTACATTTACTTATTTGTTTGTCTAAAAAAAGATTAATCTACCTCTGCCTACCTCCTCCATCTTGCATATTTCATGTGATTGTCTCAAAATCTGGTTCAATGGAAAACTCAGAAGTTTTCAGATTTAACCCTACCATAGTGGTTGCTTTTATATTCTTGGTATGAAAATAGTCTATAGATTCACTAGTGGTTCTCAGTCACTTGATTTGTGACCATCATGAGTACTGCTTTTGCTGGTTAGTGGTAGTCTGATTTTAATATTTTCTCACTTTGAGTATCCCTTCTGTGAGCTATGAGTCTTATTATATCTTCTATTTTTTTCTCATATGCTGAAAATGGAGACCACTGTCCGAGACAAAGCATACATCAGTTTCTGAATGTGTTGTTATTCTAAACTTGCTCAAATTCTTAGTTTACTTTTTAAAAAAACTTTTATTACATGTATTTTGTGTGCATGCATGTATGTATGTATGTGTATGTGTGCACACATGCATGTATATGAGTGTGCATTGCTTACCATTGGTGGGGGTAGTCAGAGGACAACTTGCAAGAGTTCCTTCTCTCTTTCCAGCCAGGGACTGAACTCAGATCATCAGGTTTGGTGGCACAGGCTATTAGCCTCTGAGCCATCTCACTGTTCCAAATTCACAATTTCATTTTTGTCTAACAAGCAAAACTAACCAATGGCTTTTTCTTCCTGTTCTAAAGCTCTGCTGCTGTGGCTTGTAGAGGGAAGTCATTGCATTATTTTTATGGGCATTTTCTTTCAGGTACCAAAGTCTCAAAGAAAATACTTCTGGAATTGCCAAGCGATGCAGTGGAAGGGTCAGCCAGATCCTTTGTCACCGTTGTGGGTTAGTTTATCAAATTCTGTATCATGGATACTTGAAAAATCTTGATTGAGGTGGTCTAAAAGAAAAAAGTTCTAAAATAACAGAATGGAGATGTTTTCTTAGGTTGTCAGGGCAGGAATTGTGTTCAGACCACTCTTTGTTTCCCTGTGGGATCTGAAGGCATGGAGTTCCCAGGCCTGTATCCCTATGAAGTATTCTCACTGGTGGGTAACACTAAATGCTCAGGAAACAGAAGAACCTGCTATGACCTATAAATGTGAATGCTAAATTAGCCTCTTGGAGATTATGCTATGTTGTGATACTGGGAATTTTTTTGATTAAAAGAGAGAGAGGTTTCCTAAAAGTAAAGGTTAATTCATCTATCATCAGCCTTGAAGCCTATATGAGGATAGGTTATAGCTTGCATTTTATCAGGTCAGAATCTAAAATCACAAATTAGAAGCAAGCTAGCAAGTGAGCACACTTCCTAAGCATCCTCCTTGCTGTGGGGATGAGACTTTCAGGAACATTTTTTACCTGAAACCCCTCTAATTCCACACCTAAGAATCCCCTCCCTCAGATTCTCTCTAGGAAACTTTGGCTTGTTTGTGTGTTCTACTTATTTTATTTTAAATTGTGTGTATAGGGGAGAGTATGTACACCTAAGTTCAGTGCCCAAGGAGGCCAGAGGCAGAGACAGATGTGAGCCACCTAATATGGGTACTGGGAACTTAATTCAGACCTGCTTCAAGAGTAGCAAGGGCTCTTAACCACTGAGCCACCTCTCCAGCCTCCTGTTTACACCTTTTAGAGCCAACTTGAAACATTTTCTGCTGCTACTGTGCAATAATAACCACAGGTTCTAATGCCAAGGCAGTGGCTCAGCATGAACGAAAGTGTATGACTCTCCTTTTCCGTCTTCAGGAGACATTCTAGGAGTCACAATGCAGAATCTAGAGAGCCTTCTCCATACACCCTATGGGTGTGGTGAGCAGAACATTGCCCAGCTAGCATCTGACATTTACATACTTGACTACCTGAGAGCCACCCAACAGCTGACAGAAGAAGTCAAATCCAAGGCGCTGCTTCTCTTAACAGATGGTGAGAGGGATAAGTAGTTTCTGGCAACAGAGATGAAAGCAACTGCAACTGATATCAGAACTTGATCAGTCTTATTCTGTGGCCCCCTGTGAGATCAAAGTGAACCTTCTAGGTACTCTGGGTCCTAGCTGTGTGCTCCTTTTTGCTTTAAAATCTGTGTCCATCATTTAACCTTATGACATAGAACTGTAGTTGTAAATTGTGAACTCATCTTTATTCATGCATGCATACAACAAAATATCATGTCCATCCCTATGTCTCCCCTTCAGCTCCCACCTCACCCTCCCTAACTTGCCCCCGCCTATCTTTGTGTCTCATTATTATTATTATTATCATCATCATCATTGTAACCCAAGTCCAGTTAGCACAGCCCATATGTGCATGGCTGTAGGGCCCTCCCCTGGAATAGGAGACACCTAGCCATGGCCACGCCCTCAATAAAGAATGAGTATCCAGTCTGCAGCAAACACTCACTGCCAATAGCTCCTTAGTATAGGACTGTGTCTGGAGATCATCTACCCCATCTACACCAGGCTTTTGACTGGCTCACTCTTATGTAGCTCTTGGTGAGCTCACAGTTGTAGTATCCAAATCATGCTCTGAAGACAGCCTTCCACAATCCTCCTTTTCCTCCTCTGGCTCTTGAATTCCTTCTATCTCCTCTGTGATGCTCCCTGGACCTTGGTGGTAATGAAGTTAATATCAATGAACTCATTTGAAAAATGTGTCATAATTATCATAATAGCTTATTAGCTGCGGCCGTGGATAGTGGCTGAAAATGACTAATTGGTCAGCTCCTAGACTTGCTTGCTTGGCTGTGTTCCAATGCAGTCAAGTGTTTGGATCTGGATGTTGAAAGACGGTATACAAGCAACATAAAAATGTGATAATGAGGACAGGTCCAGGAGGAAATGCAGTTTGGGTTTTCTTCTCAGGAAGGTAAAAGTGAGTGAAGTAAAATAACCTTAAGGGAAAGGTACTGATTGCTAAGTACAGGGCTGCTCCAGCTTTTAAGTAAGCCATTCTCTGTCTACACAGAGGTAAACAACATGAAGCTTTAGGAACCAAAGCTGAAGGGTTCACATTAGCAC